ATATAAAAATAATATATTTATAAATTTTAAATTAAAAATAAATTAAAAATTTAAAATTATTTATTTGACTTGTTTAACTAAGTTATTTAATTGATTCATTTTATATATTTTATATATTAACGAGTATAACGTGATTCTCAAGACCAACCGAAGAAATATAATTGTTAACTTTCTTTAATAAAATAGTAAGGAAAGTTAGGTTTATCATTTATTAATCGAACTTTCGGCTGTGAGGGAATCTTTAATAAAGTAAAAGTTAATTTATAAACCTAACTTTCGGCCCTGAGGGGATCTTCGACAAAGTAAAAGTTAATTTAAAGGAAGTAATTTGTGTGTACGAGGGAATCTTTAATAAGGTATAGTTACCCTTCTCTCTTGCTTTTGCCTCCTTTTTTTGGCGCTGCATTTGTTTTGATCGGAAGTTTTTGAACTTTTGAAGTTTTGATGCTTGAGCTGCTGGACTTTTCAGCCGCTCAAACATGCTAGAGCCGGCTTGTGCTTCCTCCTCCGATGACCTTTCGAGGTCTGTTCATTTTTTAGTCCTTTTTCGGCGACCCCTTTTGATTTTTTTATTTTCTGGTTGTTTGTGTTGTTTTGTGTTCTTGTACAACTTGTTTTTACAATTCTGACGACCCTCAACTCTTTCCTGTTGATCTGGGTAGGGGTTCGTTGGTTTTTCAGATCTGGCCACCACCGATCTGGATCCCTGTCATGGCGTCTTGGAGATTTCGCACCATCCTCTCCCGAGTAAATTGAAGGATGCCCCATAACTAGATCGGTCTACCACAGGTTGCTCGAGTGTCTTCACCTCCCTTCTTCCTCTGCATCGGGTCTACTCTACCTTGTTTTTCTAGTTTGTTCTTTCTTTGTCTGATACTCTTACCCCTTTGAATAAGACCTTGATGTAAATGCCGTATGGCAGTTCTTAATGCATTGCTTCCCTTGCGTTAAAAAAAAATACATATGATAAGGTACAGTTAATTTTCAATAAAGTAAAGTGAGTGGGTCTTTCCTATTTGTGTTTTAAAAATTATATTTTTTACATTAATTATTATTAAAGTAAAAGTTAACTTATAAACCTAACTTTTGGCCGTGAGGGGATCTTTAATAAAGTAAAAGTTAATTTAAAGGAAGTAATTTGTGAGTATGAGAGAATCTTTAATAAAGTAAAAGTTAATTTAAAGTTAATTTATAAAACTAACTTTCGGCCGTGAGGGGACCTTCAACAAAGTAAAAGTTAATTTAAAGGAAGTAATTTGTGAGCATGAGGGAATCTTTAATTTAGGTCACGTTTGTTATAGTAGTTTTGGGGTAGCGGTTTATGATTTTATTTAAATCACTAAATATAGGTGTTTGGTAAATTTATATATTTTGAAACCGTTATACATAAACTGTTTGGTAAAATTTTTATTTAGCGGTTTGAGACTAGCGGATAGCAGTTAGAGTTCAAACCGCTAGTAGATTGAAAAAGTTAGTTTATATAGTTTTTTGTACCAAACTGCTAACGGATTAAAATTTTTTAATTTTATTTACAAATTTATCCATTTTAATTTTTTAATTTGTGGTCACATTTTTTAATTAATAATTATCTA